GTTATTAAACATGCTAAAGACATGCGCAATAGGGCGGACCAGTGGAAAATAAGGGTGGGACAGAGGTGGAAGTGACTGGGGCTGGGTTGTTTGTGTCCACAGAGAGAACATTTGATAGAAGTTGCGTTGGCAGCAAGTATGTGATTCGTTGGAGAGAATGATGGTGGATAGCAGTGGCGACTAATCAAACAAATGGGATACTTCAAGAAGAATTTTGTTGTTGTTGTTGTTGCTGTTTTTAGTTCTTACCCTGGGAACTGCAGCTTTTCACTCGACTCCATCATGGCAAGCATTTTCCTTAATACTTTTGAATTATTTTTATTGTTTATCCTTTTTTGGGACTCTGGCCTGAGGAAGGAACCTACAGATTTTTAAGTACATTTGATCTAATCGCAACGTTTTTGCCCCTGAAGGTTGGTGGATTGTTCCCACTAAAATGGTGGTCGCACAAGTAGACGATGAATAGTCTCCTTGAGATATAAATAATATAAACAAATCAAGCTTCCATTTAAGTTTCTTGTTGTCAGTTAACTTATTTTATTTAGCATCTGGTTCTTCTATAAAATTCCTGCTTTTTTACGTTGTTAAGCAAAGGAAATTAATAAAGTAAATAGGTTTTCCTTCACTTATGCATCCAATAGCTTCCGGGCTTTAGCAGAATTTGAAGTTTCCAAGAAATATTTAACATTTTTAAGCAACAATAAGTATTTACTAGTTTGAAATTACGTGCTTAGCTCTCCTAGTCGGAATTTTGAAACAAATTTTTCTCCCCAAAAAGTTTTAATTTGATGAAATCTGTGCTTCGCAGGGTCCGAGTGCTCCCTGAAGACGCTGCTATCCTCACAACTGGGGATCCTGCTTCATTACGGGTGTGCAGAAAAACTGGTGGAGTGCTCCAAGAAATGCCTTCTACGGAACGCAATCGCGCCAAGGTGGTTAGCCAAACCTGCCACAGCTGAAGAGCAGCATCAATAGATGTCGCCTTGTTAAAGAAAGTTTCCTTTTATGCCATTAGGAGAAACAGGAATACTTTAAAGGTTTCTTGTTGCCCATAAAAATAAATGGGTCTGATTAATAAATAAATGAGGTGGGTAGAATGGAACACCGTAACTCACAATTAAGGCATTCTTCACCGGCACACAGTGCATGCATTTCCTCCTTTTTATAGTCTTCCCTCTGCCGCGAAGAAGACAAGGCAGTTTTCCACAAAATTGATTTTTTCTCTACCCGCCTCCTTCTCATAAGCAGCAGCAGTAGCAGCAGGAGAGAAGGAAGAAATTATCCCTAGTAAATTACAGTGGTGTTTAAGAGATGTCTTCCGATAAGACAGCTTTTGTGATCCTAACACCTACTCTACTTCTACTGCAGCTGCAATATTCAAACTTGCTGTGGAACGAGTGAGGTCGTTGTGCATAACTTAGTAAATTGGGAAATTGTGTGACCCTGCCATTCTTCTGCGTGGAATCACTAAATATTTTCGAAAAACTTGCGTAATGGTCACAAGTGATTTTAAAGGCTACAGCAGTGGAGTGATTATGTGCAATGTGCGGGCCAGCCCCACAGCCACGTTAACATTCTTTGGTGATTCCGCTGCCATAGTCTGATTGGAAGATACGACTTCAATCGTCTTTGAAACACCTATTTAAGCTTACTTGGTGGATATCTGTTTCACGATGTATTCGGCTATTCAATATTTTTCAGGCTACATGTACCGGTTGGCATCTTGGTGGCATAGCTTTCCATCTATGTCATCATGGGTTAAATAGAAATGTTTCTTGAGGAAACTTTTCTCTAGGTGACTTACCGGGTGAAAAGTATAAAACTGTGAAGAGAAGATTCTAAAGCGAGCAAATGTGTTTCAGTGATTCAATTAAAGATGCCCATTCCTTCCCCTTTTGATACCAGTTAACATCTTCCTCAAATTTGTGCCCAAGATACTGCTTTAATTTGAATAGATCCAAAGTGAAGCAACAAACTAATCATTTTCTGCAGTTTTGGGCCAAAATTCTGTAAGAGATGTTAAATATTAAACAAGGGAACGTTTCTCAAGGGGAGGAATAAACAAATTACCTTCTGGTTTAACCAATCCTTTGGATCCTTAGACATTCTCTGCATCCATTACGCTGGAATTTGTAGGTCATTATTTAACTGTGATTCAATTCACTTAAGAGCCTGACACGGACTACCAAATTAACGATGTCTCTCGCCGGGCACGTTGATTTAGGGTGCACCGTTTTTACACAACAACAACAACAACCGAAGTGGGGGGGTGGCCAAGTGTGTCCCACCATCACTGGCATATGTCAACATGCGTTTAGTGTACCTAAGATGTTGCAAGATATTTAAGGAAAGCAGAAAAGCATGTTTCGGGTAGCGGAAACCGAGTCACAATGGCAGACTAAAGACGATAAACCATCTCTTGGCCACCCCACCTCACTCTTCCCCCTCCTATTCCCCCCACTCTTATCCTGTCAATTTTCTGACAGTGCGGTCTGTATTTCCGTAAATTATGTCTACCAGCGCTTCCTCCTAGACCGATCGTGGAAGCCAGTTGGAAAATTGGACGCGCAAAGACCGCTGAAATAGTAAAACGCTGCTAGTAAAAGGGGATGCATTTGCACTTTAATTCACTGCTTCATATTTGGGGCAAAGTGAATCAAATGTTCATTCTGAATCTTACAATTTAAAACTTTGGTCGCCTGAAATAGAAGCTTTGCTTTATTAAATGAAACAATAAAATCAAATAAAATCAGGGAAACTAAAACGAAGCACTTTTTATTTCCTCGTAAATCAAGTCATAAGCCGGGAAATAAACGAAGAAGCTTAGCACTTTACGGTCACTACAGCTCATATAATTAACTGTTTTATTGCTACATGCGATAATCGTGTAACTGAAATTTAAGTTTATACTAGTCTTATGTAAAAACAAGGTGAATCGGCCGGAACATTTTCAGAAAAAGGAACTATTCACTTGATTGAGTAGGCAAAAAGCACCTCTAACGATACCCAAAGTGATTCTACCGCATCCCCCTGTCCCCGCGGTTGAGCGAGATCACAGAGATTACGGATTTATACATAATGAACACGATGCAAAAAACCGTCTGTCGAATGGAATTTTCTTAGGAGCACAAGACTTCATTCACTTTACGCGATATCTCGGTTGCTTCCACATCGTTATGATTATTTTGAATGCCCCGCAGGGCAATGCAAACTTTGGAGTAAAAATAAACAAAGCAAGCGGTTATAATGATTAAATCAACCTATTTCCTAAAATGTGGTTGTGGATATCCTGGAATGTGTTTAATTTTACAGATTGAAAGGTGGTTTTTCTAGAAGGCACTAAATGGAATAAAAGCATACATTGATTCACTTTACGAATAAATATAGCTGGTTTTTTGTAGCGATGGTAAAAGTTTTACGAAATCTTTTTCATATTCTTATTTTTTGGTCTAAATGGAATGTCTGATGTAATTTCTTCACAGCCTTCTGTCTTTGCTCGTCGCCTAATCAATGCCAAATAGTACTTCTGGCGGTGACAAAAACAACACATTTTTAAGATGCCATAATTAATGGCTGTTCCACAGAATTAGTAAGTTGATATCATATGGTATTTTGATTAGTGTTGAAATGCCTTTGCCAAATGCGTGAGGTTAGTCGTTTGGGGTCTATTTGTGCCACTAAGCAAGTAAGCTAAAATTTATGCAACAACGTGGGTCAACTGCTTGCCCCTTTCCAGCGGATTGCATGACGGAAAAGTGAAGCCTATGCAAAAAAGACATATCAGGCGTTTACTCCAAAAAACGTTTATAGTTGCATTGTTTTACAGGAGTACACATTCTGAATGAGGATATCGAAATAAAGGTATTTGCATTTGACGTCTTTCAGCCGTGACAAGAGGTAGTAGTAACAGCAGCTTTTTCAGCTAAATAAACAACTAAATGGGTACATTTCCTGCCTGTGTATATTCGTTATTATCGTCTCTCCTATTGTCTTTAATTTCGGGGCTATTAGCGCATAAACTTAGCAGTCACTTTATTCTCCAATAAATTTGGACGGTTTTTTCCGATCGAAACGCATCACAATGTCTTGTGCTTTTGTTTCCCTATTTCGTACACAGCCTACCTGTGGCGTGAGATGAGACTCGCATACACGAGCATATAATAGCACCTCTAAGTCCATTAATGGAAAGTAACATTTAATCAAGCACGTTTAATGCAAGTTCTCTCTGCTAGTCCATTTACCTGGCCTGGGAGAGGAGGGAGAGTGGCTCTGTGATTCAGCCAATTCTGGCCTTTATTAGATGGTTCTCATCCCCTGCGCCAGTGTTATAATTAGGAAAGTGCTCTTTCTCAATCTGCTATTTCATTACCACTTATTGAGTGCTGCCCTTTTTGTTTTAGTACAAGGCTTACCTCCAGGTGAAATAGTTGTGAAATTGTTTGTGACATCCTGTAATTATCGTAATTTAAGCGGATAAGGGGTTTACTTCAGCCACTAATTTAAGGGGCTTATCTTATCTAAAGTCTATTGAGTAATGTGTCTCTCCCTTTCCCTCTCCCTCTTTCTCTCTCACCCTCTTTTAAGGTAGATTGCAAATTAAAGTAGACAGATACTATCACCAGCATTAAGGTGCGAATTTAACTGCTAAATTAAAAGGACTTGTTTTTCTGCAATCACGATTTTCTCGGAAAACTTGTC